GGCTGCAACATACCCTCAACAGTTAAAATCTTAACTTCCATACTATCTGACAAGCAAAAGGAAGTGTGAATGCTCTCTCAAACAATTAAACACTATTCTAAATCTCTATAAATTATATTCACAAAGTCCATGTCCAGTAAAGGTTTATAAAGAATACTAATGGATAATATCTATGATTGAAAACCAAGAGAAAAAAATCAGACAATACTAATACAGAGTAATCCAGATACTGAAGTGTGCACATAAGATACAAACAAGAATTATTTGTATGACAACAGTCCAGAATAACAGGTGCTTAGTTAAGTGGACTGGGGAGTAGAAAATTTTGCATCAGTGAGTGAATATTTTTTTTTTAAAAAAAAAAAGTGAACTGGGGGTAGGAAGGAAAATGTGCAGCAATGAATGAAGAAAAATCCAACTTTTCTGTAAACTTTCGTTAGAATTGCAATTAAAAAACAACAAACCTAAATTTAAACAAAAGATTAGACAGCACAGAAGATAAAATAAACTAAACATAAGACATCAGAATGAAAACTGAAGAGAAAGACTAAAAAATGCTCAAATGGTTTGTATTTATGTGAATGAAGCTGAGAGGAGAAAATCAAATAAATTATAATATTTGAAGATATAAGGGTTCCAAACTGCTCAAAATTCATCAAGTTATTGATTGAGAAAGCTCTGTGAATTCCAAGCAGGATGAATAAAAAGAAAATTACTGTCACTGACTGTAATGTCACTGACAAACTATCTTTAAACAGCCTAAGGTAAAAGATAATAATGCTTTTAAGGAAGAATTATTAAGGCTGACAACTGTTTGCTCACTAGAAATGAAAAAAAGGTGGAAAACAATAAAATACCATCTTTCAAGTGCTATAAGAAAATAACTGGTAATACAGAACCAATGAAATATCCATCAAAACTAAAGTGAAATTAAAGTACTCGCAGTGATAACAAAAATTGTGGCACAAGTGTCAAATGACCATCAAGTGACAGTCATAACTAACCATCCAGAGAGTTTTCAGAGGATATATAACACCTGGGAGGAGAATGCCCATCTTCTTCCCATGGAGTAGCTGGTGGATTTGAACCTTCTGCCTTTGGGGTGGCTGCCCTATTCTTTATGCATCGAAGTTCCCTAACTAGAAAAAGGCCTTCAATTACTGGATGATCAAACAAGAATATTTCCAATTTCATTTCCTTTATCTTGCAACATAATGGATCTATGTGTAATTTACTAACATATACTCCCAGGTCTTATCTGATATATCTTGAGTTGATTTTTGTGTACGGTGTGAGATGTGAGTCCTGTTTCAGCTCTCTGCAGGTAGCAGTCCAATTTTGCCAGCACCATTTGTTGAAGAAGCTGTCATTTCCCCATTTGATAGCTTTGATTTCCTTGTCGACTATCAGTTGACCATAAATAGCTGGGTCTGTTTCTGGTTCTCAATTCTGTTCCATTGGTCGATGTGCCTGTCACCGTACCAGTACCATGCTGCTTTGGTTATCACTCCTGTGTAGTAGGTTTTGAGGTCAAGGAGTGCTATGCCTTCAATCTCATTTTTGTTTCTCAGAAGTATTTTGCTTATTCGGGGTCTCTTGCCTCTCCAAATAAATCTGATCATTTCTTTCAAAAATGAACTTGGTACCTGAATTGGGATTGCACCGAACATGCAGATTGCTTTTGGTAGGATTGTCATTATTACTATATTGAGTCTTCCTATCCATGAACAGGGCACATTTTTCCATTTATTTAGGTCTTTTATCGTGTCTTTCAGAAATGCACTATAATTTTCTTTGTGTAGGTCTCTTATATCTCTAGTTACATTCATTCCCAAGTATCTCAATGTGCAGTTGGCTACTGTAAATGGTATTGCATTCTTTACTTATCCCTCTGAGTTCTCTTTGGGTTTTTTGTTGTTGTTTTGGGGGTTTGGGTTTTTTGGGTTTTTTTCATTAATTTTAATGAAAGTTTACAGAGACTTAGGGTTTCCAGTCATTCACTGTTGCACTATTCGCCCTGTCCACCCTCTGCCACCCAATTCACTCTTATCCTTCAAAAGTAAAAGAAAAACTCTTTCATTGTTATGCAATCCCTCCCCCCAAGTCTGAGTTCTCTTTGTTACTGTAGAGGAATCCTATTGGTTTTTGGATGTTGGCCTTATATCCTGCCACTCTACTAAATTTGCCTACTAACAGTTTTTTTGTTGAGTCATTAGGGTTTTCATTAGGGTACACTATCATATCATCTGCATATAGCAACAGTTTAACCATTTCTTTGCCTACCTGTATGCCTTTTAGTTCCTTCTCTTGTCGTATTGTCCTAGTAAGCACTTATAAGCTTAGAAGCGCTAGTCCAAATACAACCAGAAATGCAAAATCTAAAGAGGATGAAAATTGATACATGGGACCTTCTAAAGAGTGTATCTCTATGCTCATCTAAAACTTTTTCCAGCAGGGTGAAAAGAAAATCTATAGACTGGGAACAAACATTTAGTAATACCATCTCAGACAAGAGTCTTACAACACAAGTTTACAGAATGCTCCTGGGCCTCTACAAGAAAAAGACTGATAACCCAATTACAAAATGGGCAAAAGACATGGAAAGAATTTTCACAGAGGATGATATTTGAACGGCAAACAGACATATAAAGAAATGCTCCAAATCACTGGCAGTAAGAGAGATGAAAATCAAAACAACAATGAGGTACCATCTCACTCCAGTAAGAGTAGCAACGTTTAACAGGGCAGCAAGTAATAGTTATTGGAGAGGATGTAGTGAAAAAGAAACTTTTATACATTGTTGGAGGGACTGTAAAATGGTGTAACCATTCTGGAAGGCAGTTTGGCATTTCCTTAACAAGCTGAACATAGAAATTCCCTATGACCTAGCTATTTCACTACTTGGAATATACCCTGAGAATATGAGAACTGAGGCACAAATGGAGATTTGTACAATAATGTAAGAAACTCCCATACATTGTTGGTGGGACTGTAAAATGGTGTAACCATTCTGGAAGGCAGTTTGGCATTTCCTTAAAAAGCTGAACACAGAAATTCCCTATGACCTAGCTATTTCACTACTTGGAATATACCCTTAGAATATGAGAACTGAGGCACAAATGGAGATTTGTACAATAATGTTGATAGCAGCATTATTCACCTCGAAAGACCATGGAAAGTGCCCAAATGTCCAACCACAAACAAATGAATTGAGAAATTATGGTACATTCACACAAGGAAATACTATGCAGCATGCAGGAGCACTAATTTTGTAAATTATTACCTAACTTGGGAGGGACTGGAAAGCATTATGCTGAGTAAACTAACTCAGTCCCACAAGGACAAATATTATATAAAACCATTACTGTAGAATGAGTATAAGGGTCTAGAAGGGAATGAAGAGGCTGGAAGCAGAGGGATGTGGATATGCAGGGGGAGGAGGGAATTAATCATTGGTTTTTTTTCAATTTGATGGGTGGGGAAAATTTGTTCAAATTTGTATTACAATTTTACCGATAAACAAATGGAAAAATGTCAACTTCGGGAGGGAGAAGGAAGGCAAAGGGGGTAAAATGTGCAACAATGAATGAATGAAAATCTAAATTTTCTGTAAACTTTTGTTAAAATGACATTTAAAAAATATTTTTAAAAAAATATATAATAAATCACAGCTTATTTGAAGATCATCAAAAGTAAGTGATACAGCCCAATAAAGAAAAAAGCCAGCCCTGTAAGTATCATCACTTTAGCTTAATGAAACTGATTTAAACTTCTTTTTATCCTATAGAAGCATATCCAATAGGAAATGTACTCTGATATCCAGCTATGAAAATTACCATTCCTGGCTGTTGTTTGAGCAGAGGAGCCAAACCACACTGTATTAAGAAAACCAAGCAAGGTCTAAGTGTGCAAACTCAGGATCAGCTTCAAAATCCTTAGGAGTTAATTATTTTAAACAGCAATAATTCATTTAAATTCTTCCTCTCAACAATGGTTCTGACAGGGTGTCCCAGGCAACTAGAGCATCTAATTATTTATCTCCAGATTCATGAATAATAATTTGAACTTCCTATCAATGAGTTGGATCCAACTCAGAGCAACCCTCCTTTAATTTTCTAAGGCTGTAAATTTTAATGAGAGGAAATCCATCTCTTCGGGGGTCTTCCTCTCTTGCACTGTTCCTCCACGCTCCCAAGCATGACATCCCTCTCCAATGGCTGATCCCTCCTTGCAACATGCCCAAAGTATGTCACACAAAGCCTTAGAATCTTTGCCTCCAAGGAGCAGCCTGGTTTCACTTTCTCTAGGACTAATCTGTTTGTTCTTCTAGTAGTACACAGCACATTCAACACTCTTCTATACCACAGCTCAAAAGGCATCAATTTTCCTATCATCTCTAGTTATTGTTCAACTTTCCGATGCAGATCAAGTAATTGTAAAGACCATGGCCTGGATCAGGCGAATCTTGGTCTCCAGACTAACACTGTCATTCTTCAGTAACCTGGAGAGGTCCCTGGCATCCGACAAGGGTCGCTATGAGTCACAAGCGACTCGATGGCACATAACAACAACAACAACATCTTTTAAAAACAGATTCAATTTAAGTATCATATATCTAATTACTTTAACTAGAGTTTTTTAAATTAATATTGTAATTACCACTTTAGATTAAAGTGGCTTTAGAGGGTAAAAGGATGGGAAAAAATATTTACAATTAAATATGTGATACAGAAAAGAGTATTTCCACCATATCTCAATCTAAAACAGCTTCCATCTCTTCATTAATTTTCTTCCAAGTCTGACCTTTTTGTCAAGTGGGGAAAAGCTTGAGATTTTATGAATACATACATCCATGAACATTATATATAGACTTTTCTGATAATATACCACAATAAAACATTTTTAAAAACATAACTTGTCAAAATTCCTTTTAAGAAGTACTGTGAATTCTCAATTTCATAGGCTTTTTAAGAGCATATTTTGAAGTACACACAATTTACCTGAAAGCTCCGTAAAGTGGTCTGTACCAACAAACAAATGAACAAGGAGTAAAAAGTAGGAACCACAGAATACTCAATCCAAAATCCACTCCTCTTGTAGGATCAACACAAAACCAAGCCAAGCATCCGAAGATATTTAGAAATAGTGTTACAGCATGGACTGTGGAATCAGAAAACAAAACAGAAGTTTTATATTCAATTTTTAATTCATTAAAACAAAACTATATATTAAACATATTTACTAATAACAAATTAAATTTGAAACCAAGTTCACCCTTGGAGGCAAGGATTTTGAAGCTCTGTTTCATATGCTTTGGGCACATGGCAATGAGGGACTGGTCCTTGGTGAAGGACATCATACTCTGAAGGGTGGAGGGACAGCTCAGGAGTAGAAGACCCCAGATGAAATTGATTCATACAGTAAGTGGGGTAATGAGACTCGGTATGTTGGAGGCAGTGAGACTGGCTCAGGAAAGGGCAGGCTTCAGAGCTGCTGTACATGGAGTCACTATGAGTCGTAGGCAACACGATAACAACTACAATGATAAATGTAATCTACTTCATGTTTCCATTCAACATTTTTAAAAACAGTGTTTGAAAACAGTAAACTTAGGAAAAAGAGTTCTAAAACAAACTGGCTAAAGTTCTTTTGGCCGTCTCCTTATGGGCAATTATTCAGCAGAATCAGAGAAGAATGAATTACCTTACGGGTTTCTTGCCCAAGAAAGTAACATGTGCTGTATCCCTTCATCTAAGGCCCTATAAGAAAAGTAACGTCTGCCAAGTAAAAAGCCAGGACTTGAAAGGATAAAGATGCTAATACTCAGAACCACAAAATGTGAAATGGGCTACAAAAATCTTCCCAGGTAGGACTTCAGAAAAAAAGAAAACTGGAAAAGGGCTCTGTGAAATAGCTTAACAATTTACCAACCCCCTCCTGCCCCCAGTAATAAAATGAGGGTATTTGGACTGGAAATACTCAAAGAGTAGTAATTTTCAGTGCCTGGCATTTCTTTTATTTAAAAACAAAACAAATGAAACCTTGGCAGAGGATTCAAACTGTATTTTTAAAAGTGACAACATAATGCATTTCAGCTGCTGTAGCAGAGCTTCTGGGCAACACAAAGAGATCTTAGCAATCTCTTCAAATGCTATTAATAACCAACTGCCATCACAGAACCAAAATTAAAAATTTCAAGTAATATATAACCTCAAGAATTGCATTTACTCATCACTTTTTCTAATTTGTTTTTAAAATTAATTCACAGACTGAATCTATATGTCTTCCAAAAGCTAAAATAATATTTAATGTTAGTAAGAACACATCAACAACTACATGAATTAAAAATTATAAACAGAAAACCTATAATTAAAGTATTTTAACTTGCATTCAAAATATTTTAAGATCTCATCATGAATAAAGTAAGATTAATAAATACCAAAACAGGATAAAAACACAAAATCTATAGTATCTCTAAATTTGTTCTGTCTAACCACAATTACACAAACTCTAGAAAAGCAGTGAGAGCTTCACAGTAGAGGGAAGACAAAAGGGTTACAATCTGATACTATGTATACTGTATGTATGCACATATGATACCATACCAATCAGGTAACTAACGTAATCTTCAATTTTTCAGCTATAAAAATGTAAGAGCTTTAAAATTCTACAGAATTTTATCTCACACAAGAGACTCTTACATTACCTTATTCACATTATGATTTTTCTGTCTCATGTAAAATAGCTTATTGATATATTTACAAAATCTTTTGTCTCAAAATAAGTAAGTAAAGTTATTTCAATGAAGAACTTATAAATAGAATTCCTGATAGTAAAACAACAGATTACTATTCTGAAGCATTAAAGGGCATCTAACTATCTAAAAATATGATACTATTTAGAATATTCTCAATCTTTTGCCTTTAAAGAAATTAATCTTTAAGCTGACTTAAGATTGAATCTATAGATATTTGTGCATTAAAGGTAAGTATTAATTCAATTCTGCATGATCTATTAAAGTTTTCTAATTATTTTCATAGTCACTACCAACCACAATCAAGTATTTATTTGAACTCTAAAAAACAGAAAAATGTCTAGACCTACTTACAGAATAATCTGATAATTTATGCATAGGTATAAATATTTAAAAAAAAAGACAACCTAATATGGAGCTCTGGTGGCCTACTGGCAAGAAGCTGTGCTGCAATAAAAAAGGCACGCGGTTCAAGGGCACCAGGTGCTCAGTGGGAGAAGGATGGGCAATCTCCTTCTGTGCAATTAACTGCCTTTAAAACCCTGCTGTGGGGTCAGCTATGGGTCAGTTCCGACTCTATGGTACAACAATATGAAATAAGTAATTCTATGTTGCTAATTTCAATCTATTCAAGTGAGCAATACATCCAAATGGCTTGAAATTTAAGTTCAGGTTTGTTTATATCATTTCCAAGTTAAAAGACTCTATTAGTTTATAGCTTCCAAATCTAGTAACAATAAACCTAAATTTGCAACTATTATAATATTTATGTTGCTATGGAGTGGCTGTTGGAAAGGGTCATCATGATTGGAAAAGAGTCAGTGAAAGAGGAAGATAATCAATGAAATAGACTGGCACAGTGACTACAGCAATGGGTTCAAGAGTGTGATAATGAGGATGGCACAAGATAGGACAGGGTTCAGATTTGTTGTTCACCGGGTCACTCTAAATCACACTCAACTTGACAGCACCTAACAACAACATAATATTAATCTTTACAAATTTTGTATTACTATACATATAGACATCAAACAAAAGTATCTACACAATAGTCTATCATCATTTTCACTAAATGGTCTTTAATCTATCTCATTTATTTTGTTCCTTCAACTTCTTCAATTCAAAATTATACTCTAACAGACTTAGATTTAATGGTTTTGATCAGCTCATTTATAGAATCATGTCTATTTCTGTTAACACACTTTTTTCTTTTCCATAAAAATGAGATAGTTTCTAAATTTAAAAAAATAGTTTTTTATTTTATATTGGTTTGCTTACAAAGTTCATATACATTGTGTCTGTTTCATACAATCAAGCACATTTATTATATTTCAGCACAGTTTTAGAAGTATATTTTAATCACATTTGTATTTATAAAGTTACTTCTTCATTTTGGTCCTTTGTAAATAGTATACTATTCAATATTAATGTGTCTAATCTTGGACAAGGTACTCAAATTCTCTAATCTTTCACTACTCTAGCTATAAAACCATGTATTACATCACTTGCTAAATATTATGGTGGTGTTGTTATGTGCCATCTAATCAACTACAACTCAAAGCAACCCTATGCACAATAGCTCTGAATCCTGCTCTATCCTGCGCCAATCTCACTGTCTCTGACACATCTATCCTTAATACTGTGCTTAGGATGTTAACTAAAATAATGGATACAAAGTAATCAATGCTATGATTTCTACAAAGTAATTCCTTAATAAATAAATGTTACCTCCCAATATAATTACTATTAAAGAATGTTGCTGTTATTGTTCTGTGCTGTTGACTCATAGCTAAACCTCCAGGTTTTCAGATGTTGTAAATTGTAGAGATTGCCCATCTTTCGCTGTCAGAGCAGATGATAGATTACAACTACTTGCCTTTGAGCTGGCAGTGCAACTCTTTATCTACTAGACCACTCCAAAAATCAAAACTAGCTTGATAAATCTTTCTTGAAAACAACTTCTTAACAGAGTATATATTCTATAAATTTTATAATATAACTGGTCCTACATCTTTCCACAATCAACAGTCTTTGCACTAGGAGTCAGGAAATTAAAAGACAAATTGCATTTTGAAAATCTCTTATCAGGGACCTCTCCAGAGTGCTAAAGAGCAATAACAGTAGTCTAGAGACCTAAGGTGCACCTGATCCAGGCCACAGTCTTTGCAATTACTTGCTATGCATCAGAAAACTGGACAAAAAAAATAAGGATGCCAGAAGCAGGATCGATGTCTTTGAGTTGTCGAACACCATGAACCACCAAGAAAACAAAGAGGTTTGCCCAAGGGAGTGTGAAATCAAGTTGCTCCTTGGAGGCAAGAATTTTGAAGCTCTGTCTCACATACTGACTGTCATGCTTATCTATCAATGAATCTGATTAATAAAAACTTTAAAATTGTTATTAAACTTATGCAATAGCCTGTGTAATTATTTTCAAAGTGTGTATATATGTATGTATGCACACACACAGATATATCCTAGATAATACTTTTTCAATGGAAAAGGATCATAATTTTTATCTTCATGGCAAAAAAATATCATGCATTCTTCAAAAGAATATAATTCTCAATATATCTTTTCCTCAGCTAAGGACTTACATTATCATTTATAGTCCAATTGTGAATTAACTGAATATTATGTTTCACTTTTAAAATTATGGATTACTTTCCTACAATATAGGAAAGAAGACTAATTTACTGTTGTAAAACTATGACTCACAGCAACCCTGTGAGCAACAGGTCTGAACTCTGCCCCATCCTGTGCCAACCTCAGAATGTCTGACACACTCAAGCTTACTGTTGCAGTCATCGTGTCAATCCACCTTGCTGAGTTTTTTCCTCTCTTTCATGGATCCTCCACCTTTTCAAGCATCAAGTCCCCTCCAAAGAATAAGCCTCTCTTATCAACATGTCCAAGTATAAAACAAAGCTTTGCCTTTAAGAAGCACTCTGGTTATACTTTCTCCAAGACATACCTACTTGTTCTTTTGGCAATCCATGTAATATTCAGTACTTTCCTCCAACAACAAGTCTTCTTTAGTCATCCTATCCTAAATGGATCAAATTTTTAAAAAACAGTATCTCTTTTGTGACTGAGATACTTCACTCAGTATAATGTCCTCCTGAGTCACCCATTTTGAATAATATTGCATGAGTTCCTTGTTTTTCAATGAAGCTTCTCTATCCATTCATTTTTTGATGGGCACTCAGGTTGTTTCCAACTCCTTGCTATTGTGAACAAAGCTACAATAAACATGGGTGTGCATATATCTGCCTGGATGTCAGTTATGGTCTCTCTGGGGTATATTCCCAGTAGTGGAATTGCTGGGTTAAATGGTATCTCTATTTGCAACTTTTTGAGAAAGCGCCATACCGCCTTCCACAGTGGTTGCACCATCTTATACTCCCAGCAACAGTGAATAAGGGTTCCAGTTTCTCCAGAACCTCACCAGCATTTGTTGCTTGCTGTTCTGATAAATTTTGCTATTCTACTGGGGTGAGATGATATCTCTTAGTTGTTTCAGTTTGTATGTCTCTTAGAGCTAGAGATTTTAAACATTTCTTCATGTGTTTGTTAGCCATATGAATGTCTTCTTCGGTGAAGTGTCTGTTCATATCCTGTTCCTTTTTTTTTATTGGATTATTCACCTTTATCTTCTTGTGGTGCTCAAATATTTTATAAATTCTAGATATAAGTCGCTTATCTGATATGTCATTACCAAATACTTTTTTCCCTTTTTACCCTGGTGCCACTATTGTAAAACAGGACTGACCTTGGAGTTGGGGAGAGACTGAGAAAGATGGGTTCAATAATGTATACTGCATTGAAACAGAAGAGGGAGAAAACTGTTTAAAAGGGAAATGTCATGATAGGAGTCTAGAGTGAAGGCTACATGGTGGAGTGGACCTGGGGAAGGGTTTGTAAAACAATGAAAGAATTTTTCTTTTGATTTTCCAAAAGGGTATTTTACTGGGGTGGGGTGGGGGGGGAGGGGAGAAAAGTGCAACAATGAATGAATGGAAATCCAAAGTCTCTGTAAATTTTTACTGAAATAATAAATTTAAATTAAAAAAACCAAAATAGTATCTCAAGACAATAAAGCATAAAGTATAACACATAATTTATTTTATACTCACACATCCATAAGTAGTACATTATTTTTACTGTCTTTTGGAATTCTACAGGAATGTCTACAGAAAAATCTTGGTAGAAACAAGGTCCCACAGGAAAATTGCCAGGAAGAGGTGGCCAATTATTTTTTCTGCCTGTAAATGTAAATTTTAAAAGTTATTTATATTTGGAAAAAATATATGCCAATCTTACTTTTTCACTTTCATAACAAAAATTAATTCTATCTAATCATTAAATCAATCCCACGGTTGTTACATTAACTGCAGCCAGTTTCCACTGCTGTAAGTTTTAATGGGAGAGGCTTTTGTCATTTTTCTTCTACACAATGGTTGGTCAGTTAGAAATAATGAATTTTGCTTGGTATTACAACACTTAACATACATAGTATTCGACCAAGACTCCTTTTAATCTTTAATAGATGTTAGAAAAATATATTCCTATAATTCTAAACTTTCTATTTTTCAAAATTTTCCCAGCATATCTCTTTAGGTACTTTAGGACACATTAGGTGGTAAAATAATTTTCCAAGTTCATATTACATAATATTTAGTATGAACCAATCAGTAAGTACTGATTCCTATGCAGCACATCAGGCGAGATCCATGCAGCACATCAGGCGAGATCCATGTATAAAGTCTTTTAAAAAAGGTATATGTAGGGGAGCTCTGGTGGCCTAGTGGCAAGAAGATGCACTGCAACCCCAGAGGTGCACGGTTCAAACCCACCAGATGCTCTGCCGGGAAGGGAGGGACAATCTCCTCCTGTACCAGTCAGATCCGATTTGACGGTACACACACACAAATAATAAAATAATAATTTTTT